ATTCTGACCAGAAGAAAGAGCAGTATTGGCACATGGCAGGATGAATGCTAGACTTTAAGCACCTCAGACACCCTATAGATGTGAGTTGATGCCTGTTCAAGTTACCAGGTCTCGAGAACTGACCGAAGAAAGAGCAGTATTGGCACATGGCAGGATGAATGCTAGACTTTAAGCACCTCAGACACCCTATAGATGTGAGTTGATGCCTGTTCAAGTTACCAGGTCTCGAGAAAGTGTGCCTACAAGACTGGCAATTCGAATTGAATATTTAGTACTACTCTTTTCCTTGGTTCAGGTCTACTTCTATTCATTATAACATGGTCAACCATACCACCAACACCAACACGAGCATGCCTCAGTCATAGATGTAAGCTATTTATAAAGGTACCTGTTAGTAAGAAGGGTATCCTTTACAATGTTTTTTCTGGCCCAAGGCTTATAAATGTCAATACTGGGCTGGCTACTGGGATGGCCTGAAGGGTCTTTATGGGTGACAATGTGGCCCAGGGCGATGGGGTAAGACGTGCAGAGGTGGTTCTGGTGGTAAAGTAAGGGGTAAGGGGTAGGCTAATGTCCTTATTATCCTACACATCATTACTTTGAAGTAGACATAAGCATTCTTACAGTCAACCATTCATCAAAGATGTCAAAGCTGATGTCACTGAGATTTTGACTTACCACTCAGAGCAGTTGCCCTTCCAGGATATCATATGAAGAGTATAGATTCATCTAACCATTGTAAATGGCCTGACGACCACAGAAGATTTAGGGGTAGGTTGTATGGAATTTGTCGATGATCTTGTACAGACAACGAGCGTTGAGAGGAGATTTTCCGTTCTTGGGCACAGGCATGCCTTTCTTACCTATGACTGAAAATCAATGCAGCCCAAAGAACATATGTCAATAAATAATTGACACAGTTGATGCAGCCTGACATATCATGCACTGACTAAATACCATATAAGATGTCAATGAGCTATCGCACAGAGAGCAAAAATGTAATGAAGGTCAACTGTACCATCGAAGTGGAAGTACTCCTTCGGGGTGTCTGATCTCACCCTAGTGAGATTCATTTACACAGGGAAGGCATTAGTTTTTACTCGAACTTTCAGCCCCTTCGTTCCTACCGGGCGATACATTTGCGACATATCGGTAAAGTCGATACACGCGAGATGGGACTGGCAATCAAGGGCGAGAAGATGGAAGAGAGTCAACGGGGATTCACAGGGCTACTTATCCACCAGTACATGTAGCATAATTATAATTCTACCTGCTAGTAAGAAGAAGTTCCTTTACAATTGTTCCTCAGGAAAATAATAATAAATGCCAGTACTGGGCTGGCTATTGGGGCGGCCGGGGGGTGGTTCTGGGTGGCCGGGTGGCCCGGGGTGATGAGGTAGGGTGTATAGGGGTGGTCCTGGGGGTAGGGTAGGGGGTAGGGGTACTGGGGAATGGGTAGGGCGGGTAGGTAGGGCATATATGGTGAAACGGGCTGGGTTACGTATGGATAAAATGGGAAATATGGGCAGGGATGATCATAGGGTGAATAGGGATAGAACGGTGGCCGATAAAAATACGGAAAAATGGTAGAATAATAGTAGGGATGCTAGGGTGGGGATACTGGATACCTGGGGGTAGATCGGTAGGGGAAACGGGGTGATCTGGGGGTATTTTGGTAACTTTGTGAGTTTTGTGAATTAGGACGAACGGATCACATTGCCGGGTGTCATTTCGATGGAATTGACATATAAAACGTGAATTGTGGCCCGATTTGGGCAACATGAAGGAGGCCGATTCTGGGGGTTCTGACTATTTTACAAACATTGACAAATGCATAAGATGGTTAAAATCGATTTTGGGAGGAATCGGACCATTTGTTCCAATGTTATACCGCAAACGATCAGCGAGATATTACCCTATCGCCGTAAAAGGGGGTGGGCAGGCCAGAACTGGGGATATAGCGGTTCGATTGTCTTGGTTTTTGCTGTAATGGATAGTACTATATCAATAATAAGTGATATAGAGCACACCGGGCACAAAAACAATGATCGTGGCCTTGGTAGTGGTGCCGTGTCTAGGGGAGGAGGAGGAGAACATCTATCCTGGGTGTATTGCCATGGTTAGAATGTATTGTGGTGTTGAAGTCATGATTGGACAATATAGTTTGATGTTTGGGAAGTCAATCTACGGTGCAATATTGGTCAAAATTGTCCTGCACTAATCATGGGGCGCTGAGGGGGTGAAACAGTGTATTGGGCCACAGTATAATCACCGAAACACCAATTTACGCGTTTTTGGCACCATTCTTGTTGTGTTAATTTAGTTTAAATGTATATGAACATTATGCAAGCACCAGAACCGCCGCTGGTGGATAGTGGGAAAAGCAAAACCATGTTTTTGATGCGGGGGCAGGTGCACATATAGTATTGGGGGTGTATATGGACCAGATTTCTCTCAAATGCAGTGCAATCATGGTGCGGTTTGGTACAAGGACAGGATACATCATATTAAGTGTTTATGGGTGATCCACTATGTCATACCTGGTCTGTGTAATACAGTAAAAATGCGAAACATAGGTTTTTGGCTGTAAATGGCCAATTTCGCAGCGTATCTGAATTTCTGAATATAATTGAAGGATTTGTGGACCAATCCCCGTTAGGACTAAGCTCTATGCATCAAAAGGTAAACGTCCAAAAAAATCCGAAGTGATCAGTTAGCCTACACCTCTCAAAGTGCACATGCTGCTCATTTGGAGTTTCCAAGTAGTGTATCTACCCTAGTAAGATCTATTTCCACAGAGAAGGCATTGGTTTTTACTCAATTTTCAGTCCCTTGGTACCTACTGAGTGATACATTTGCAACATATTGATGGAGTCAACATATGTGAGACAGCATTTGTGATAAAGATAAGAGGGAGTAAACGGTGATTCATAGGGGCTACTTATCATTCATTGAACTTCACTGCAATATGTTCTTACAAAGAAGCCGTCATACAAGGATGACATGTTTATCGCACCACCGCCACATTTTCTTTGTGGACTGACAGCCACCACATCACAGCTCCTCACCGCAAGACCTACACTACACTTTTTTAGGTTGCTTGCACAAATAAAAGTCTCGTAAAAAGTGAATGAGTTCTATTCTGGTCTGATGTCAACTCAATAGTAAAGATCATGCTCATTTTTCTCAGCGTAAAGTCACTCACAAATGGGTTGAGTGAGTGGTGGTATCAATTCACTTGCAGTACTGGAATGGTTACTGGGGTAGCCGGGGAGTGATTCTGAGTGGCCGGGTGGCCCAGGATGATGGTTTAGGGCGTACAGGGGTGGTCCTGGGGGTAGGGTAAGAGGTAGGAAGTAGGGTAGGAGGTAGGGTGCTAGGAAATTGGTAGGGTGGGTGGATAAAGCATATATAGTGAAACAGGCTTACACCTCCCAAAGTACTCACTACACTGTTACTGAAATTTGAGTAGTCCTTTCATTGTTTGAAGTGATAAAAATGTAGCCTGCATATACAAGATCTTGTGGCACAAAGTACACTCATTGATCAGGGTGATCAAAACAGTCAACTCAAAGTCAAAGTTAAATTTTTAAAAAAAACCAGGCATCGTGCCTGCCATGCTGCGTGCAGCAATGGCCTCTCCCCCCAAGTCTCTTGGGGAGGTGAACAACATCTCCGTGCATTCAAAGCCTACTGACAGCGTCACGGTGTCTCTCCTCCCGGAGAAAGCTGTTGTTATTTCTTACCAGTGCATCCGTCTAATTCGCACAACTCTCGAAGAAGATCCGACAGCTCTGAACGACTGGCACTCCTCTTCGTTCCTCCCGGTGACTATCAAGGTCTCTGGACTTCTCGTTCAGCCACTCAACCCCGCTGTAAGGAGCATACATACGGACATATTCCTTTTCCTTTTCCTTTTCCTTTTCCTTT